CTCTCTCTCTCTCTCTCTCTCCCCTTTTACACACTCGTTCACATCGTTCACTCTTTTCTCTCCTCACACACAGACACTTGCTTGCACTTGCATGTTTGTGTCCATTGCCATGCTTCTGTCAAGAATGCCTAGCAGTACTGGCCAGCAAAGATGTTGTGACCCTTCCTTCCAGCCCCATACACGTATATTGTCACCAGTGCGTGTACCTCCCACCGTCCGAAGAGCGCATTTTCTCAGTTTTGGGGGGTACCGAATTTGCGCATTTTTCAAAATAAACGAACCCAATTAAATTTTTATTTTCCTAATATTTTTTTCATTTACCTCTAATCATTGTTATATTATTAGGTTAAGGGTGCTGACAAAATGAGTTACTTCTCGGATTCGAAACCCATGGAAATAAATCTTCCCGCTTTTTAGTGAAGTTTTTACAATGTATTATTAAGTATGAAATAATAAAAGGCTTATTATACTGAAAAAATAATATGGCATCAATACAAAAACGACAACTTTGACCCGAGTATCTCCATTTGTGGATTGCGAGAAGTAACTCATTTTGTCAGCACACCTCACATATGTTATTATCTAAACCTCATTACAAAGATACTACATCACTGTTTAAAAATGCATGCCTCTTTTTCTGAAATACTTTTGTATTGGCTGAAGCTGGGGTTAGGGGGTGCACAAAAATGGCTGGGGCTGGAATGCTTGCTCTTTCTTTAGTTACTTACATTTTTGCTACATACGGTAGTACTTTCATGCATTAGCGGACACGAGAGAGCTCACGCACATACGTTCGCAAACAAATACATTTTAGCACATCAACACGCAAACACAACATTCAAGACGATTCAGGTGAAAGACATCAGTTTGAAGGAACTAAGGAATAGCATTCGAAAGGCAGCAGAAAGAACCAGGAGCCCAGGGGAAGGGGCAAAGGGGAGGAGAAAAAGAGGTGAAAGTAGATTTATAAAAAAAGAGCATTTCCGTCGCAGTCAGGTTTCGAACCCGAGACCTATTGAATTAGAGGCAAACACTATACCCCCAGATCACGAGATCCCCATTTGTTTTGCCGTGTCCATATAAGTGGGTTACTTTTAACAAGAAATACTAGACCTGATGATAAATCTAGAATCTGAGTGCAGATCATAATGTAATGTAAGTAGGCCTACATTGATGCATGTCAACAGTTTTTGTTTTGGATTCTACTCTCGAACCTGCTCAAACGGACACTCGTATAAGACAATCACAAGTACAGAGGGCAACTTCCTACTTCCTCCCTTGCATTTTTTAAAAAAACTTTTTAAAGACACTGTAAGACACCAACCCGTCTAAGATGGCCATTTCCCTCCTTTACAATGGGTGACCGTCTTTTACACTTTCGACGATATTCTGAAAAGAATGTGTATTGGTTTAAGCATTGCTATGAATATCTCACTTTTTATCGTGCGCGCGCGCGTGTGTGTGTATATGTGTGTGTGTGTATGTGTGTGTGTGTATGTGTGTGTGTGTGCGTTCGTGTATGTATGTGTGTGTGTGTGTTTGTG